TATGCAAAAGGCCTCGCCAAGAATCAGGTCTGTGCGATATTTTCATATGCGAGATATTCGGAAAAACGTTTTACCCAAATTTATAAAGCTTTGTATGGAGACGCCATGTTTGTGTCCCTTTGAGGGGCACATACATGGCTGCCGGAAACCAACAAAAACATCTGGTTGTGAGTTTTCCTACTAGTGCGTGAATTCATCGCTTGAGAAAGTCATAAAGGATTAAAGTGATATTTATTCTAAGACAAGGCATGTTTAGGTAGCAAAATCTCCCAAAATTGGTAATGTTTTTAACCCAAATAAGAGCCTTCCTGGCCGCCAGCTAAATGCCGCGTGACGCAAAAGCCTAGAAATTTAAACGTCCTCTATCGCAAAATGAAGAACTCTTTCGAACCAAAACTTTGTTTAAATAAAGGTGTTTAGGTGCTGTAATGCCCCATGAAACTCAGAAGAATCGATAGTTTCTTAATTTGAATTTTTGATGACGTCATATACATGAGACACCACAGGTAGCCCAAACAGAAAAAATGTCCTGCATATTTTTCTGGTCAGTTTTTTCAAGTGCACTCGCTGACAGAAAAGCAGTGGAAGACAATGCTCAATTAAAGTTTGCAAGAACTTACTTCGATCAAACCTCTTTATTACGGACACCAAAGGGACAGAACCAAGTGTCCGCTTTACAGAGGTATGCGTATTATAGAGGTAGGGAATGTATGATTTTTGGCATTTCTGGGACCAAACGAACTGTCCGTAATAGAGAGGTGTTCATATTATAGAGGTGTCCGTAAGGAGAGTTTAGACTGTATTAAAAATGCTTTTAACCTGAGATCAGGCTCTGTTCTCGTTTCTCTTTGTAAAATAACATTCCGGCGGGCAAAGCGAAACGAAAAGAGAAATTTTATTGGGACTACGTGAGTGAGAATGTATGAGAACTGCTAAAATTGAGCCTGATCTCAGGTTACCTTTTTAATAAACCCTTTAATAAATTAATGCCACTCTTCTTTTAGGAATTGTCATCCTTTCCTAGCACAGCCTCTACATCACAGGAAGACCATGAAAGCAATTCAGAATCCACTTCCTCGAGGAAATTGAGGGTAACTCTGTTAAGCAGTGAATGGAGATCAACAAAAGGAGGCTTGTCAACCATATAAAATTACTCAGTTTCCTGGTGGATTCCTTCTTAAACATTCCTTTTGTACGTTACCAAGCACAAATTTTAAGACAGTATTTTGAGTATTGTGAGTATTTTTTCTGTCTTTTTGTGTTTTCTCCTTTTATTCAAAAGGCATGATCTGTAACATGTAAAAGTAGATGAAACGTGATCTATGATGTCAAAAAATCACTTTGTAGAAAACAACAGAATGACTAGTGTCATGATCTCAAACGATTGTGTGCATTATCGGGAATTACAGAAAAATACATAGGTTTTTTCAAAAATATAATAATTTCGTCAAAGGGATAACATAGACTTAAGCAAAAAGAATGGTAAAGAAAAAATTTGAATAGTATTTTCTTCTGAGCTTTAAATTCTAAATATCTGGTGAAAAGGTAATATTATCCGACTTAATAAAAATCTAATTAAATATAGATTTTACTAAAAACAATTTTTTTCGAGTTTTGATCTTAGTCAAGAAACTATTTCTTCCTTTACCTCTCTTCTCACAGGTCTTTAAGTTTGTGTTCGTTTTTTGAACTGACTACATGCCATTGGGAGCAATGCTTTGGTGGACTAGTATCCCATCCAGGGAGGGGTGGGGGGAGTTGGGCTGAGAATAGCTCTTAGCAATTCACTGTACTCAAACCAAGATAAGCTGTTGCTGTGTGCAGGGCTTCAATGGCTTGTTTCAACCATTTAAGCATCAGTATCCACATACAAATTCTCCAGACTGATCTCTGTCCATTCCTTAACCCTTTAAGCCCTAAGAGTGATCAGTGTCAAATTTCTTCTTGTAGTATCACTTCTTTATAAAACACAGTAGTCATGAGAATTGAGGACCTGATCACACTAAATGAATCTAACTGATATTTCAACAAATTCTCCCCACTTCTTCTATTGAAAACAAATAGGGACAACAAATGAGAGTTTGAATTTTGATATTAGGGTTTAAAGGGTTAAAAGAATTGCATGTAGTTAAGAGAATTTGATTAACGATTAAAGCATTTTCACTAAGTGATCATTTTATTCATTTCATATCATTAAATTGGAAGTTTACTTACATGTACAGTAGTAGTTCACACCTCTTAATGTGGTACATGCGTACTGCACTGTTGAAACCCTCTTAGTAACGTGCATCATCTTTGACCTTTCACCCTGCAAGTTGTCTCTGTCCCCCTCCTTTTCAATCATATGAATAAATCATACTGCGCCACGTGAAGTGTTTACACTTGCTGTCATGCAATCAAAAAAACATTGCAAATCATTCAATACAGAAACACCAGAATCTAGGAAATAAAAGAAGATAAATATGCAAAAGGCCTCGCCAAGAATCAGGTCTGTGCGATATTTTCATATGCGAGATATTCGGAAAAACGTTTTACCCAAATTTATAAAGCTTTGTATGGAGACGCCATGTTTGTGTCCCTTTGAGGGGCACATACATGGCTGCCGGAAACCAACAAAAACATCTGGTTGTGAGTTTTCCTACTAGTGCGTGAATTCATCGCTTGAGAAAGTCATAAAGGATTAAAGTGATATTTATTCTAAGACAAGGCATGTTTAGGTAGCAAAATCTCCCAAAATTGGTAATGTTTTTAACCCAAATAAGAGCCTTCCTGGCCGCCAGCTAAATGCCGCGTGACGCAAAAGCCTAGAAATTTAAACGTCCTCTATCGCAAAATGAAGAACTCTTTCGAACCAAAACTTTGTTTAAATAAAGGTGTTTAGGTGCTGTAATGCTTCATGAAACTCAGAAGAATCGATAGTTTCTTAATTTGAATTTTTGATGACGTCATATACATGAGACACCACAGGTAGCCCAAACAGAAAAAATGTCCTGCATGTTTTTCTAGTCAGTTTTTTCAAGTGCACTCGCTGACAGAAAAGCAGTGGAAGACAATGCTCAATTAAAGTTTGCAAGAACTTACTTCGATCAAACCTCTTTATTACGGACACCAAAGCGACAGAACCAAGTGTCCGCTTTACAGAGGTGTCCGTATTATAGAGGTAGGGAATGTATGATTTTTGGCATTTCTGGAACCAAACGAACTGTCCGTAATAGAGAGGTGTTCATATTATAGAGGTGTCCGTAAGGAGAGTTTAGACTGTATTAAAAATGCTTTTAAATTACCTGAGATCAGGCTCTGTTCTCGTTTCTCTTTGTAAAATAACATTCCGGCGGGTGAAGCGAAACGAAAAGAAAAATTTTATTGGGACTATGTAAGTGAGAATGTATGAGAACTGCTAAAATTGAGCCTGATCTCAGGTTACCTTTTTAATAAACCCTTAAATAAATTAATGCCACTCTTCTTTTAGGAATTGTCATCCTTTCCTAGCACAGCCTCTACATCACAGGAAGACCATGAAAGCAATTCAGAATCCACTTCCTCAAGGAAATTGAGGGTAACTCTGTTAAGCAGTGAATGGAGATCAACAAAAGGAGGCTTGTCAACCATCAACCGAGAGCTGGCCATTCAGTTGGCTAAACACCCCAAAGTGGATGTTAGCGTTTATCTTCCCCAGTGCAGTGAAGAGGATAAACGAGTTGCTGCAAGTCACAATGTACGTCTTATTGAAGCAGAAGAAATGCCAGGTTATGACAACCCAGTAGACTGGTTGTCCTTTTTCCCTGAAAGCCATTCTGTTGATTGTGTGATAGGACATGGGGCTGTTCTTGGTCGGCAAGTGCAGGGTATAAAACGTCAGTGTAAGTGCAAGTGGATTCAGGTCGTTCATACAGCTCCTGAAGAGCTTGGTATGTTTAAGTCCTACACAGATGCCATTTCAAGAGGCGAGAAAAAGCACCAGGCTGAGGTAAAACTCTGTGAAAAAGCTGATCAAGTTGTAGCAGTTGGACCCAAGCTGGCTGCAGCTTTTTCAGGTTATCTCCGTCCTTGTGGAAAAGATCAAGATGTTCTCAATCTTACCCCAGGCATTTTCTCTGAGTTTGCTGATGTAAAGCAAGCCTCTCAAGAAATAAGTTCATTCAGTGTTTTAGTGTTTGGACGTGGCGACAGTGAAGATTTTCAGCTGAAGGGATATGATATTGCTGCTCAAGCCATTGCTGAGTTGAAAGACATGACCTACAAACTTGTGTTTGTTGGGGCAACAAGCGGAGAAGAAGAGAAAGTTGCAGACTTGCTACTTAAGTATGGCATTGATCGCAGTCAACTCAGGGTGCGTCGTTTTAATGAAAGCAGAGAGAAGTTAGCCCAATTGTTTTGTGAAGTAGATCTTGCTATAATGCCATCACGAACTGAGGGCTTTGGGTTAGCTGCCCTTGAGGCTTTATCTGCTGGTCTGCCTGTCCTGGTTAGTGGGAACTCTGGTCTTGGCGAAGCTTTGAAGAAAGTTTCGTTTGGTTCAAACTGCGTGGTGATGGGGGAAAATCCAAAAGATTGGGCCAATGCAATCAGAATTGTCCGTGAAAAAGACAGAGAGATGCGACTTGACGAGTGTAAAACCCTACGTGAAAAATACGCTATGAAGCACAACTGGCGAGATGACTGTAATAGACTTGTGGAAAGAATGCTAAGCATTTCTGGAGGTAACATGTTCACAGTCTTATTTAAGTTGGTCTTTAGGTTTTAGAGTAGAGTGCTGACGTTAGGAACTGCACATTTTGATGTACGAGTTACGCAGCTACTAGAACCAGTAGTGAAACGCTGAGTAATACAATGAATTTGCATTCATTTAAACTTCGTCACCATTTTTCTAACTCGCACAATTTGTTAAATGCATGCGAATATTTCTGGACTTGAAGTTTGCAAAAACAGGAAGGAAAGTTTTCTGTTCTGTGTTCTTTGATTAGTAAACAGCAAAGAAATGTATAGTGTCGTGCAGAGAGAGGTTGTTTTGCTAATTAAAATTTTAACTTTCGTCGTCGTGTGGCAGTTGCCTAATACGTGGTCCCCAAAGAATAGTCCGGAGTATCTTAATTAATCGCTGCCAGTTTTTTGGGCAAGTCATTCCAGACGATTACTAAATAGGACGTAGCCTGAAAACAAAAATACTTCAGTTCTGTTCAAGGTTGAGTTGTTTGAAACATGTTTAACAGTAATCCTACGAAGTTACGCAAACTCATACAACAATCAGTAGTGAAAACCTGAGTCACAAAATGAATTCGCAATCCGGATCATCTTAATCTCCCTAAGTTTTTAGACTAAGTTGTTTCGGACAATTGTTCAAGGTTGAGTTATGGGTGGCAGCGTGGCCGAGTGGTTAGAGTGCTGGACTTGCAATTCGGAGGCCGCGAGTTCAAGTCCCGCCCTGACCGCTAGCTGGATTTGTTCACGGTAGCCCCAAGTTCAAATATATACTCGACCATGCTTGTAAATAACCAGCTGGTTTGCCAGTTTGGATTCTTAACCCCGTTATGTTTGATTTGAATTATTTGTTTCAGTCATTTGCTCGGCCCAACTAGCGTAAGTGCTATAAATACTGCCGAGGGTAAATAAATAAATTGTTATCATAGTTGACAGAAACATGTCCTAGTTTAACTGTAAATAGAGCATATGAGTTGTCATGGTAACCAACCCTGGTATGTGCTAATCGCCTTACAAAAAACTCGGTCCAGGCCATTGGTATGTTCGAAACAAATGCTGGATCGTCTCAATCGCGTGGAAACATTGTGCCATAACTAGCCCGATCGAAACGATGCTGACGATAAGAGACCTTACGATTCGACAACGCTGACGCCAATAAAGGTGTGCTGAAAAATAAACTTCGCATTCTCTCAAACGTTTTCGCGATTGGAGTGGATTGGTGAAACTCTTAAACTCTGTTTAAATCAACGGGTCTACGACGTTGATAAAGAATTGTTTCTATTTTTTGTAGGTTCCAATGCAGATGAGCAGGATTTATCTAAGAAAGCGGCTGTGATCTGTCAAGATGTAAAAGCCTCTTCTTCTGTGAAATCTCTTCAAAAAGGTACACTTAAGTTGAATCTTGGAAAAATGAACATAATATTTATAAGAGTAAATCTTTGTTTTTCATGTAAAACGTTTACCGTGGTCTAACGAGAGCTTATTGAGTATTCCTTGCTGGACAATTGGATTAACCAGGAATAGTCGGGGCACTGAAAAACACTCGTCTGAAAAGAGTCGAAATTCTGTCACAATGTCACAGGTCAAACTACGTCAATTGCCGACAAAAAGCACTCCGGTTTAAGCTTTACTTGAAAGGTGAAAAATTCCTTACCACTGTTTCAGAAGAGCTTTGTCCGTTGACTAACAAACGAGCCTGTTTTTCCAAGATGGGTGATCCGACGTCTATAGTGTGAAAACGGCCATTATTAATGATTGATATACCTTTGTAAATGAACGCGATTCATGAGACCTCCAAATCCCTAGATTTGTCACAGTCGGGAGCCTTAGAAATATCTGCCCTCCAACGATTTTGTTCGCTTTTAGTCCCAAGCAGGATTAGTTGTCATGGTACGTAGCGTTAAGAATATGTTGGTAAGACTGTGGTGGTTATGCTCAGCGGTATTGCGCGCCAATAGTGTATGTGTGTGAAGACGAACATAGCAGAGATAGTTTTACTATATAAACACCAATGAAATACCAGGTGATCTTTCGAGCGAAAACATGATAACTTCACATGTGAAAATATCACCGGTGCTATGGCTACATAGTAATTTGCGCCTTTCATACCAAAAAACTATTAAAGTGAAATGGCTTGGTATTTCATTGGTGTTTATATAATAAATAGAACATTACATGGCCACTTGGAGATACGAAATTTCTCTTGTGTTAAAAAAATATTTCACTTGTTCGCTACGCTCACTCGTGAAATATTTTTCAACCCTCGAAGAGAAATTCCGTATCTCCGCGGCGCGCGGCCATGATATCCTCTATATATTTACTGTTCCGTCTACGTTTGTGTATAAATGTGGCTAAATATCATTTAGGCAAAGTTAAACTCAAGCGAGTTGGCCAGCAGTCTTCTCCCACTTCAGTATGTGACCTACAGGGCGGCCCGCGGGGAATTGCAGGGTTCCTTGTGTGCCCTTTTGCTAGTGTTGCTTTGCATTGTAGCTTTGCTTGCTGATTGTAGCGGATCATTTCTTAGCCTTCTTGCAAATCAGTGCGGATTCTTGCTGATAGTCGCGGATCAATGTTTGCCTTCTTGCGAATCATTGCGGATTCTTGCTGATCGTAGCGGATCAATGTTTGCCTACTTGCGAATCATTGTGGATTCTTGCCGTCTTCGCCGTTACACACCGTTTTCTACTCGCCGCATGTCTCTACGTAACACAAACAACAGCCTTGCGGCCGGTTTTTTGCCGCTGGATTCACGACTGCCCACTTTGACAACGGGTGCCATCCCAGAAGTTCCTCCTTCTTCTGCGAACGATGTTTGGGAGCCCATCGCATCTGACTAGCGTTCCGGACGTGCCGTCCTTTGCCTTTTTGGCCGCGCCTCCGTGGTCGCTGCCGTTAAATCAGCGCTCTCAGCCGAACAAACTACATCTACAATAAGCGTTCCGGTAGCCTCAAGCGTGGCTGGGGGCGTTCCCACGACGTTCGTTTGCATTCTCAAGCTTTGGATCTGGCTGCGTCTAGTCTTGGTTTCCCACCAATTTCTGCTACCAGCATCGGATCGGTTAACCAATTGCAAGGTAGGCCAAACTTTGTTGTCCCTTCTTTGTGTCAACTTTTTCGCCGCCGGTATCGCCCGTTGTTCCTTCCCCCCGAGCGTCTAAAAAGCCAAAACGGCGTATGAACGATATTGGCGGTTGGCTGGAGGCCTTTTAGTGTATTGTCTCGTGTTGACGTCATTTTTCGTTCACCGGCCGCGTGTGGTTAGCGTACGATCGGGCCTCTAGCAAGCATGCAGCCGCAACAAATTTGAGACTGGTAAGCTTTTCATGTCCAAGCGTTCTACCCCTTGCTTTTTAACTCAAGTGCATTGCATCATTATTTAGATAATAAATGCGTATCTCGCAATAACCCTCGCGAAACTCGATGTTTTAGTAGCTTCCCTTCAAGTTAAGCCCTGTCGGGCGAGGCTAGGAACTGGTTGGGCGACCCACTGCCAACATCATCGTGAAGGTCCTTGCTTTGTTCTTTCTCTCATTTTTCTGCTGTTTTACAATTTGTATGGTGTTTTTAAAAAGTGTATTAGGAAGCATATTTAGCATTATGTCGGCGGCAATATGAAAAAAAAAAAAACAACAACAACTGCAACCACCACAACAGTACAATTCGCTTGCAATTATTGTTCCTTTGCCGCAGTACAGAGCAGAAACTTTGATCTATCGGCGAGGAAACCAGGACACCAATACACTTGGGTGGGCCACGGTGTGAATTGAATTCCAAACTAGATTTCAAAAAAAAAACGAAAAAGGTTTCGACGGTAAAAAGCCAAACTGAACAAAACACTCTGGAGAACCATATCGCGCGACATACACAAACTCGTCTGCGAAGTGAGATGCACTGAAAAATGCCCTTGTATCTCGATTTTCGCTCTTATTTTGAAGCTACTGGCCCAAATTGCTTCAATGTATTCTGGAAAGTACTTCTGCAGTCAATGTTTCTAGCCAAAATTATTTCTTGACGGCCAAAACGGGCCAAAAAATCAGTCAGTTGGAACGTAGTTGCCACATCGTTGCTAGGCAATCTTGGATACCAAACCAAAAGAAAGAAAGATTTATGACAGAAGCAAAATTGCAGCGGTGCAGCCTGCTGACAATGACATCACGCTGCTGAGCTCAATTGGGACGCTGTCATGACTGTTGCTAGGCAAGTGCGGATACCAAACCAATAGAAAGAAAGAGTTATGACCAAAGCCAAATGACTCTGCTTACGATCCTCGAGTGTTCCGGGCGACATCACATGACTAAATTATCAATTCTCTTTCGCGAAAGGCGCTTTGTGTCTTGCTTTACTCTGAATGACTTCGTGACCGCTGTCTCCCCCTCCCCACACTGTGTGCACAACATGAGTACCGCGCTAGCAGTTTGCAAATGGCCAGGCCTAGCTCTCCATTTGAGAACTGTGAGGGCCCTGCAACGGTGCTTGTAGTATTGGGAATTGAATTTGATTTTATCAATCAAGCTGCCCGCTTGCCAGCAGACAAACTATCGGTCTTGCAGAGCCTGATAAGCTCATGGCTTCCGCATAGGTGGTGCAACAGACGCAAACTGGAGTCCCTCTTTGGCCATCTACATTATGCTGCCAATGTGGTGTGGCCAGGAAGAGCCTTCCTACATTGCATGATCGACCTTTTGTGCTGCTTCCACAAGAAGGATCACCTGATTAGCCTCAACAGAGAGTGTCATCTGGACTTGCTTTGGTAGCATCAGTTCTTGTCACAGTGGAATGGGGTTGGTTTTTGGCTCCTTCCAGGCTTGCTCCCTAAAGCTGATGTGGCAGTTCCTTTGGATGAAGCTGGATCACTGGGCTATTGAATGTTCCTAAAGGGCTTCTGGGTCCCAGGTTCCTGCTCAGCAGCAGCAATCTATCGCTTATAAGGAGCTGTTCCTGCCAGAAATTGCTTCCCACATTTTTTGGTGCCACCACTGGGGCTGAAAGCATGACTCTTTCGCTCTGACCACGATGCTGTCGTCCACATCTCGAATGCTAGGACTTCTAAAGTTCCCTGCTTAATGCGGTTGCTTCGCATTTTGCTGCTCGCAGTGGTACATCATAGCTTCTCCCAACATGTGCAAGGTGTTATGAATCAGAGTGCTGATGCTGGCTCTCATTGTCGTTGGCAGGAATCCAGGCAGCTGGCTCCAAATACTCAGCCTTTGTCCAGCTTCGATGCGGAGTTCTCGTCCTGCTTACCGACTTGACTTCCCTGATTTAGAACAGCAGTGCTACTCCTTTCGTACTCATGGCCTGGCTCCCTTGATTCGGCATTCCTATGCGTCAGCCCAAGCGAAATTCATTTCCTTCTGCTGACAGCTTGGCAACTTGCACCCATCAAGGTCTCCATGCTTAATGGACGAATGGATGCCTTGTCTAATTGTTGTGTTTCTGGTCAGGACTCTCCAGCATTTGTTGATTAAGGTTAATGTATCAGGCTTTAGAGCTCCCCACATGGATCAGGGGTGCTCGCATCTGCTTGCAAATTGTCTCCGCCTGCAAAGGGACATTCATGGCATCAAGTGCTGTCAGGGTACTCCTTCGTCCATGCAGCTGCTTATAAGGGATGAGATTAATTGATGCTAGTTACCTCGCAGTCTTTGGATCTCGGCCCTCCAGATCATCAGATGTTCTGGGCAGCTCGTTTCTGGGGTACTTAGGCTTCCTGCGTGCGTCTGAGTTCATGGTACCTAACCTATCTAGCTACTCGTCATCCCTCCACTTGAGTGTCCCGGACTTTGCAGTGGATTCTTTATCGGCCGCATCATCCTTGCACATACGAATCAAGGGCTCCAAGACAGACCCGTCCCGGAAAGGCTCTTTTCATTCACATTGGCCTTGACAAGCATCCTCTCTATGCAGTGCACGCTATGATGATATTCCCTGCTTCTAGGGGGTATTCGTCTGGCCCCTTGTTTTTGTTTGCGAATGGCAGCCTCTCACTCGCACTATTCTTACAGATTGGCTTAGGCAGATCATAACTTCAGCTCAGATACCGGGCAATTCCTTCTCCCCTAGCTTTCCTATTGGAGCTGCCTCTGTCGCTGCTCGCAGTGGGATTCTGAATCAATGGGCCATTGGCCCAACAACGCTTATCAGCCTTGTATTAGGACACTGGCTGACTCGTTAGCTGCACTCTCGCAAAAACTAGCTTCATGTTCCACAGTTCCATGCAGAATCCCTTCACGGCACAGTCCTCACTGCTTCCCGGGGTAGCTTTCTTGGCAGCCATCTGTCCTGGTTCAGGACCTTTTGCCTATTTCAGCTGGCGGATCAGCTAGATTTGTGGAGCGTAGTCGCCACATTGTTGCTAGGCAACCTTGGATACCCAACCAAAAGAAACAAAGATTTATTACAGAAGCAAAATTGCAGCGGCGCAGCCTGCTTACAATGACATCACTAGCTGACTCGCTAGCTGCATTGTCACAAAAACTAGCTTCAGCGCGTTCCACAGTTCCATGCAGAATCCCGTCACTGCACAATCCTCACTGCTTCCCGGGGTAGCTTGCTTGGCAGCCATCTGTCCTGGTTCAGGATTTTTTGCCTATTTCAGCTTGCGGATCAGCTACAAAATTGTAGGTTAGTGCCTTCGTAATTTGCGCAGCTGTGGGAGTTGTTTGGTGCTTGGGGATTTGTTTGGGTGATCGGAGGTACCAAGTCACCCTGTTGACGGGTCCCTCCGTTCTCCAAGCACCTGGAGACGGGTTTCTTTGGGTGGTTCCCGCTTCCAGGGTTGCCATGGATACCTCCTCTCTGCTTATTGCATTTGGCCCCCCACTAACCTTTAAGGCACCAGTTCCCAAGCTCATCATTAGCGATGAGTTTAAATGTGGCTAAATATCATTTAGGCAAAGTTAAACTCGAGCGAGTTGGCCAGCAGTCTTCTCCCACTTCAGTATGTGACCTACAGGGCGGCCCGCGGGGAATTGCAGGGCTCCTTGTGTGCCCTTTTGCTAGTGTTGCTTTGCATTGTAGCTTTGCTTGCTGATTGTAGCGGATCATTTCTTAGCCTTCTTGCAAATCAGTGCGGATTCTTGCTGATAGTCGCGGATCAATGTTTGCCTTCTTGCGAATCATTGCGGATTCTTGCTCCCTCTCCTCCCTCCCTGCCTGGTGGTTTGGTAAGTATTTTCTCAGGTAAGTATCTCCACTGAATTTTTTCAGTGTGACGGTGCCGGTTAGTGGCTGCTCCTGGGGTGGTTCCCGCTTCCAGGGTTGCCATGGATACCTCCTCTCTGCTTATTGCATTTGGCCCCCCACTGACCTTTAAGGCACCAGTTCCCAAGCTCATCATTAGCGATGAGTTTAAACCTCTTTAATCATGGCTTACCGGCTGGTTAACAAATACTTTCAAGGTCGGTTAATTGGTAAATTATCTTTGACGCAGTTATTTAGACAAAAGCCTAATTATGTTCGTATTTGCTGGATTTAGTTTCAGGCACAGCAAAGAGATCGAAGTCTTCAAAAAAAGGCGAAGGGCCTTTATCTTCAAGCAATACTCCAAAACATCCGAGAATGTTGCGAGATGAAGGTAAAGTTTTATTTTTCCTTTATTTAGGTAAGGTTTGGTATTGTATTGCGTGTATATGTAAACTTTCCCAGTATAGTATAATGGGGCCTTTGTAGCTGGTCTTGTGTTCCCTAAGCGCGTCTTCATAACCTGCATAACTAACGAAACAAGACGGTGGTGGTGGTTTTCGTTGGCGTAGCAGCTCGTGCGCGCTGGATTTCTCCCAGCGAGAGTAGTTGCGAATCTATTTTGATCCTTCTCTTTCGCTTTCTATATGTCCCTTTGCCTTTCATTTACATAGCCAGTTTTGTTGCCCACTTAACAACTGCGTATCTTAGTGGAGGTGGGTGCCCGGGCTGCCGGAGGCCACCCGCCACTTTGTAGACAGAGTTACGCCCCCATGGCTGGTAAACCCGCACCATCGAGCCACGTCTAACCCTCTCTCCCAATTTCAAACGTGCTTCATAACACTCTGAGGCTACAATCAGGCGAGTTTAGAATTTTGAGCACATTTTGGCCTAAAATATAGTCAAATCGAGCTACAATTCCTTGAGTGAAAACCTGACTAATACAAATTTTTCTCTCTCTTTTTTAATGTGGATGAGGTCCCTAACAATTCAACTTAACTAGGAAAGTTCACCAAATTTTAACAAATTGTGAGAGTTAGGAAAAAATTGCGTGTTGTCGGTCAGCGGGCAGTACAGTAGCTCAAGCGCGGTCAGCCTTGCTTGCATCATCTCGATGTGATTTGTATAGCGTTTCCTGGCGGCGTCTCTCTTCGTTTGGCCTTTGGATCTTTCTTTTCATTCTTTTACCCTCATCCCTCCTCCCCTTTTATTTTTCCTCTGATAAATGAGTGTGACAGGTGCCTGATCCCATTTGCGTGGGGGCTCCTGGTTGGAAGGCGCGGGTTTACCAGGGGCTAGCCTGTTCCAAGTGTTCAGTTAGTAGAGTGCGGTGTTCGGATGATGGGGAGCGAGTTAAATCGTACGTGGAAGAAACCAAGGGAAAAAAACCAAGGGAGAGCGGTCGAGTTCCCTCCCTTTTCCATTTTCTCTCCCGTCTTTTTTCCTCGTCAATTTTTCGACCGCGCTCTACTATCTGAACGCCTGGAACAGGGGCTGGCTTTGCCAAAATTGGAAGCCCCTGGACAAACCAGGGACCCACCTCCACTAAAGGATGCAGTTGTTAAAGAGAGGTGAAATATTTGTTAACACCTTCAAAGGCGAGCTCTATTCCTGCCTTGTAAAGGGCTGTGTCAGGGCAGTCTAGTCTATTTGCTTAATTTTTATAATTACTAGCCTAAAGGTGGATTTCTACTGTCGCGTAATTTATACGCGACAGCAGAAATCTAGTGATTGATTAGGGATATACTTTTCTGTAGTTCAGTAGGCGGTTCATAAAACCCCGTAATCCCTCAAAGTATCGACTGTCGGGGGACCTTGTTTTATTTTCGCGATTTCACTAGGCAATTATAAAAAAAGGCATTGGATTTCGCGATTAAAGCGTTCTCAACCTGATTTTATTTTTCAAACGTCTGAATTTTTTAAAATATCAAGATAAAATGAAACAAGAAAAACGCATATTAACGTTATTTTACAACAGAAGGCACAGCCAAGGAATGGAACTTACCAGTTAACCAGCTTATAATTTGTCTGTGTTTGAGTATATATTGTAATTTTTTAATTAATTTTTTCTTTCTGTGATTTCAATTTTCTGTATGGGTATTAAATTTCGCTTATTTAAATCTCGCGGGGATTCTTATTCGCGGGTCTTTAGTTTCGCGATTTTTCCACAATCGCGAAAACCGCGAAATTAAGTACCAGTAACTTAGGTATATACTCGTGACGTAATCCCTTTAATGTTGGTAATTGATTTTATTGTAGGTACCGGTGCAGCAAAGACCGCAAAGAGATCCAGGTCTTCGAGAAAAGGCAAAAGGCCTTTATCTTCAAGTGCTGTTCCCGCTCCAAAACAACCGAAACTGTTGAAAGAGGAAGGTAAAGTTCGTTTCTGGATTATTTAGAGTAAGGGTTGGTGTCGCTTTACATGTGTATGAGAGAGTTTAGGATGGTCATGTGTCATCGGTCTCGTGTCTCTAAAATGCGGCTTCACAAGTTGTATAGCTTATGAAATAAGAGTGTGACAGTACTTCCCGCTGGCACAACTTGGCTCATCCCCATTATTCTCGCAGCCCTATCGCCTAAACAAAAGCACTCTTAAAATATAGCGTTTGTCTGGGTTACTTCCTCTGCTGCACAGGGCAGTGGCTTTATTATTTAAGTCCCCCTTTCTAGTTGGAAATCCTGATGAAGCTATAGTTTCGTAGCCTCGGTTACACTTAGGGAAAATCTTGAGATTCTCACGTCTGACACACTCTCCAAACTTCTAGCGTACTTTGTAACACGATATGCTTAGCGTAAGACACAAGTAGAACGAGGCCACATTTAGGCCTAGGCCTTGGTTATGCTTTTATCACGTTACTTTCAGTGTAAGAAACTAACTATTTAGCGGTAGCCTCCTGTCAGTCAGATCAGCCTCCTACGCAGACCTTCTAAGGGGTTCGTGACGCCCTAGGTAAGTCTGCGTGGGAGGCTAGGCTGTTGAAAATCGAACCACCTTCCTTACTCTTTGTATTTGCGGTGTAATGAACAAACCAATCACTTGTCAGAAAATTAAGAGTGATCTCAGTTCTGTTTTGGAACGCAAATGATTTGTCCATTATTTTTTAAAGAAATAAACGTTAAAAGTGAAATGTTTTTACAGAGAGTGTATGCCACACAGTTTTCATAAAAATGTAAGCGTTGATAGCATTTTCTCTTTTGCCAAATGTTACCGTTGTCTCAGTGAAGCTTATTCTGCCATTGAAGGTATTTTAATTTATGTCATCGAAAACATTTACTTGTAAACACAGTAACATACTTATCTGTAAGCAAAATAAGGAGAATTAACGGCCTTTCTGCTTACTGAGGAGAGAAAAGTATGTCACAGCGAGATTAATGCGTTTGGAATGTCAAGTCTTTACGCTTGTGTTTATTGTCAATATTTCCTCACCTTTTTGTTTCCAGCAGGTTGGGACAACTCGGTTGTTGTTGAACTGCTCAAAGCTGAATACAAAAGGCGCTGTCTATTAAGACCACTTCTTTGGGATAGCACTATCGAGTTACCCCTAGAGAACGTTTACACGAGACTGAAAATCATTTCGAGAAGAAAGTTGGCTATCCAGATGGAAGCCAATATGGCGAATATGTTTCACGTCATAGCCCCTGAAAAAGGTGCCGATGTCCTAACGCTAGCACAGGGAAGTCCAGACTTGAGGGTGGACGTGAATAATGAGTTTAATGTGTTCGATTTCTTTAAAGCTCCTGATAACGTTGAGGATGTCATGAGGCTAGTAGAGGGACAAAAACCAGGCTTAGTGAGTGGAAAAGACGAGGTGAACGTGACTGAAATCTTCAAGACCCTTGAAAAAGGTAAGGATGTCATGACGCTTGTCGAAGGAAGTCCAGGAATCGGTAAAACAACGTTTTGCCTTAAACTTGCTTATGACTCTACACATGGAAAAATCCCAACAGAGTGTTCCTTTCCCAAGTTTGAAGTTGTGTTGCTCCTCAAATGTCGAGATATTGATGGAAATATTATGGATACCATAAGAGAACAGCTTCTGCCCAGAGATATTGAGGAGAAGATTGTAGAGAAATTGTTGCACTTCTTGAAGGATATTCATAACCAGGAGAGAATTTTGATAATTTTGGATGGTTTGGATGAGCTGCCTGAAAAATCGCGGCACCATGTAGATGAGTTGCTTCACAGACGAATTTTTCCATTTTGCTATGTCTTGGCTACGTCACGACAAGAAAGAGGAATTGAAGCACGAAAATACTTCGTATTTGATATTCATTTAGAGATTAAAGGGTACACGGAAAGTGATGCTATTGTCTACGTAAGAAGACACTTCAAAACCATTGGTCAGTCACCAAAGGGGGAGAGGCTAATTGAGGAAATGCAACAGAACACCTTCTTGAATGCACTCCAAAATAACCCGTTAAATTTACTTCTCCTTTGTGTTGTTTATGAGGACTACGAGGGAAAATTGCCGACTTCCCGAACGCAACTTTACCAAGTCATTGTGCAATGTCTTTTGAGACGATACTGTGCCAAACGCAACCAACCGGCCCCTAAGAATGACATCGCCTTAGAGAGAAAATTTGAAAAGGAAATTCTTGCCCTTGGAGAGCTAGCTTGGTTATGCCTGCTGAGTGATCGTTATGGTTTCCGCGAATCTGAATTGGATGAGTTTGAAAGTAGATACCCGGGATTGGTAGCACGTGAGCTAGGCCTTCTTTACAAGGAAGAAAGTTTAAAGAGATTAAAGCCCGAACACGAGTACTGCTTCCTTCACAAGACCTTCCAAGAGTACTTGGCTGCCGCGTATATCGCGGAGAAGTTAGTAAATCAGCAGTTTGATGTGTTTGATCACTTTCCCTTTTTTGACTTGGTAACGAAATATCCACAAGTGTTTATCTTTGTTTCTGGGATGCTGGGCGAGAAAGCAACTGTCCTATTCACCCAGATTGGCGAGCAGCTAAAGAACTCATACGACTGGGACTGGAACGAGCATTGCAGTGAGGAGAAAGCTACTTTCTTTATTGAAAGCTTTAATGAAAGTGGACATCCTGAACAAATGGCAGCTTCTCTATGTAAAGTTAAACCTTTTCCAAAGGTCATAACCCTTGAGTCATATGAAGGTTACAATCCTTTTTTTGTTGATGTTTTAATGGCTTGTGAGAGTTTTTCAAATCTACAGACACCTGTTGAACTCTCTGCTGATACGCGTTTTTGGAAGGAAGGAGTGAATGGCGTATTGGATTATATAGAATCCTGTCCGCAGCTGACAATAGTAAGTGTTGTTTATGATGGGAAATCTTTGACGTTATTTGATAGATATCGTCTTTGCAAATGGTTTTCTACGACCAAGAGTCTATCAGAGTTTACTCTTAAATTCAGATATGATACCACCCCTGAGGAAAGTGACCTGCTGGTTCAAATTGTACATGGGTTGGCTTCATGTCGAACTCTGACAAAAGTAACGTTTTCTTTGTCTGGACATGCTTATAGCGAGGTTTTTTTCAATGCCCTTGAAAGTGGATTAGGACCGCTGACGTCTGTTGATCTCGAGGTACGTGGCTCAATGAATTACACTACGACACGAGCCTTACAAAATTTTTTGTCAAATAAATCCTTGAATTCTGTTTCTCTTTGTATTGTTGGAGGCGTGCAGGATGTGTTAGTAGCTGCTGTTAGTGAAGCACTGGCAAGACAAACAATTTTAAAATCTCTTGATCTTCATTTTGGTGGACCGCTGAGTTCCTCTAGTGCCAGTTTCCTGGAAAAAGGGCTTATGGAAAATAGTTCTTTGAATAATATAAGACTGTGTGTCCACAGTGAGCTCCCTGGTAACTGGCATTCTGTGGTGGAAAATCTTCGCATGGCGAAAACGTCCCCCGTTTGCTCTTGTATTTATCCAAACACCTTTAACAACGTAGCAAATAATTATTTTCATCCTGTACTGGTTAGGAAAGGGTTAAATGTAAAGCAACACTTAACTGTTAACGTCTGGGGTGAGATGAAATGCGAAGCGGCAGAAGCTCTCTGTGAAGTCTTGGCACCTTTCTCCATCACTGTTCTCATCTTAAACGTGCGTGGAAATTTGACCTGTGAAGTTTCTAATTCCATTGCAAGATGTTTGGAAGAAAACAAGACACTATCTTCCCTGTCGATCAATTTATGGGGCGAGTTGACAACAGAGGGAGGTATTGTTCCTTCCAGCCTTTCAACAAACAGTCGCGTTCGGTTAAATGTACATGATGTGCGTATAGGCCCAGCTGAGTCGAACAATGTTCTTGTTATCACGACTGATAACCCTTCGCCAATGAGAGTTTGTTTCACTAAAGTCAAGGATAGAAGAAAAGAAAAAGTCAGTCTTACAATCAATAACGACAGTTATGTTACCAAAGAGTGGACACGTTGCCTAGGTGATGCTTTGGCAGAAAACACATCTCTGACCACGCTTGACCTTACAGTCAACAGCTGCTTTGTGGATGCAGATTTGGGAGAATACCTTGGGGAAAGTTTATTGCAAAGCACTTCTTTAACATCTCTTAGTCTCGCATTCAACTTCAGTAACATGAAAGAAGGATGGGAATGCAAACTGGGTGAGCGTTTGATCAAAATGGCATCTTTAACTACACTCAGTCTTGAAATAAACGGCGACGGCGAGTGGAATCAGGAGAATTGTTTGAGTCCGACTAAACTGAGTAACGTGCTAGCGGCAATCAAATCATTATCTTCCCTTTCTGTTGCAATCCATAGTGATAGCATGTGTTCTTTGTGGGATGAGGTTTTACGTGACTGTTTGATAAAATGCACGTCACTCAAGAAACTTAGTCTAACACTTGACGTGGGTGAATACGTTTATAGTAGTTTTAGTGGCCTTCGTTACGGCTTAGAGACAACAAGGTCATTAGATACATTATGTGTCTCAATTTTTACTAACGACTCCACTGATAGGTATTTTTCAAGTGTGTTTTTTGATCTTGATCAAGGTCTGCCATTAAACTCGTCAGTAACTACACTGACACTAACAGTAACTGTGGCAGTAGATGAAAGAGGTCATATTAGTCAGCTGCTCAATTTAGATTATGGACTGTCAGCGAACACGTCAATAACTACGTTAAATATCACAATAAATGAGTGTGGTGATGGAAAATCGGATATACCCCAGCTTCTACGCACCTTTGGAGTGTTTGGAGGCTTGGCAAATAACACATCAGTTACCACATTCAATCTGACGCTCAACAGTACCAAAGAAGTGAGTGATGTCTGGTTAACAGGCCTTTCCAACACCTTGAAGAAAAACACCGCATTAACTACTCTGAGATTAAAAGTGAACAACCATTGTGCTAAAGGTAAAAGTCGTTTATATGACTTAAACAAACTTTTAATAGCAAGCAGATCATTATCCTTACTTGAACTCGATGTAAGTTTCTATGGAAAAGAGAGTGGGTGTCATAAGGTTTTAATTCAATAGAGGAATACAGCTAAGATTTATGTGCTTTCCAGTCCGCAGGAACATATGTCAGTATCAAATGAAATGCAATCGACAATAGAAATGAGGCTTAATTTTTTATATTTCGTGAATCTTGAAGCCACCGTGACAACCAACCCTTTGGACATTTTTTGTTTTCTCTCCCCTTCGGTGCCGCTGACATTTTTCGTAACCATTCTAGTCTTCAATATAGTTCCCCGATCGCTATATCGCTTTCTTCAAGTCATTCATATTCATTAAAAAGTTGGTCGCAAATCCAGCTAAATGAATCTAATTATTTTTGCCTTAAATTAGGGCCACGCGTGATCACTTGAAGGTCACAGAAAATCATTCTGTTTCAAGCCACATCGCAAACGTTTCTTTTGATACCGAGATTTTTTCCTGTGGAAGCCCAGCCTGAACTTCGTTATGTTCATACTACTCTGTATAGCGTTAAGGTTACCAGATACCTTCAGGTGTGTCTCAGTGTGTTTCAGTCGAAAATGGCAAAACCTCGACACATATTTAGCGCTTTGACTTCCGAAAAAACAGAAAGTGAGAAACAAATCGCTTTGAGTTTTTAAAACTTTCGAAAGCTGATTCCGACGCACGCATTAAAAAATCGTTTTAAAAAACCCCCATAGCAAGTTTTATACAGCATAGTTTGAACATAACTTAGTTTGAGAATTGCATTTTGTTGCTCAGTCTCGTTAAGTCTCTCATGGTCCATTCAACTTACCTTGTTGCACGATGTAACACAATCCCATTCCTCGTGAATCTGTTTCAGCTTTTTTAGGCTCATTTATATGGAGAAAAGTTGTCCCAGGTAGAAAGGATCAATCCGCCCCCTACCCGAGCTACCCTGGGTGAGCCACCTTTTCATACGTTCCCTTAACCCTTTAAGCCCTAAGAGTGATCAGCATCAAATTTCTCCTTGTAATATTAAAGCTTTGTAAAATAGGGTGGTCATGAGAATTACGGACATGATCACACAAACTGAATTTGCTTGATATTTAATCAACTCCTCCCCACTACTTCTCTAGGAAATGAATAGAGGCAATAAATGAGAATTCGAATTTTGATCTTATGGTTTAAAGGGTTAAAAAACGTGGCGAACCGTGTAATTGTGAAAAAAAGTTTGCTTGGCTAGAAGGATAGACTACGAGCAGTCTCTCTTTTTTTCTGTGGTCTGTCGAGCAAAACGCGAGACACGCAAATGGCCACGCGCGTGACTGATGGCTGCCGCCCTCGTTTCGCGCGTCTCGCGGCTTCGCCGCTCCCGCGCGCGCGCATCGCTCTCACTAAATCTGAAGAAAAAGAGAGACTGCTCGCAGTCTACTAGAAGGATGACCCGCCTAGCCGGTTCACCCTTTTGTGAAGGTATAGGGTCACCCTCCTAGCTGATCCAACGTTTTTCCGTTCAAACACTTTGGCTCGCCCAGCTGGGTCAACTTGATCAAGGCGAGACAACCAGAGCGTGCGCGAGACCTGTTGGCTCGGGCAAAGGGGTGAATTATTTTTTCCGTTGACTCAGCTGGAGGGTGACCCTCTTTTTGGGGACAATTTTTCTTCATATCAACGGGACCCAAACGGATAAGATAAAACTACAGTGTAATGATTGATTTGAGAGCATCAAACGGCCGGTACTCGTCAGTGCTGTAAAGGAGTATTTCTGTGTCCATATTTTGAAATTTTACATGATTTGAGTCTCAGAGTGAACAGGCGGGATTAGCTCAGTCGGTAGAGCGCATGACTGTAGAGCGAAAGGTCGCGGGTTCGATTCCCGGGACTGGACTATTACTCAGGGTCTTAAAATAACTGAAAAACGAAGGTAATCTCTTTGCACTTCAAGCGGCTGAACCTTTGCGTGGTTCGGATGACCACGTAACATGGCGGCACAGTTGGTACTTTCGTCGTAAATACATTTGCACTCAAGTGGAGTTGTACGCCTTCTGGTCCAGTGAGGCCAAGGTTAATACAACATGAGTTTCTAGTAGTTTTAGAGGTCGATAAATATTGTAACTGGTGATTGTGACTTGTACACCATCTGGTCCAGTGTGATCAAGGTTAATACAACATAAGTTACCAGTAGTTTTAGAGTTTGATTAATATTGTAACTTATGATTCTGACTTGTGCGCCCTCTGATCCAGTTTGATCAAGGTTAATACAGCATGAGTTCCTTGTAGTTTCAGGGATTGTAAAATATTGAAACTAACTATTGGTATAGTATTCCTATATTTCAATAGAGTTTGTATGATAGTGACAACTATACAGAAAAGAAATTATGATTTAGTTTAAATTAAAATATTTAAACTGTATTTCACCATGATTTAGTTTAGTTGGCGTTTAGCCAAGAGCGATCTTTATATGTTAATCAGCAATGAACATTTATTATAAACAAGCAAGAGAGAACATTGCAAACTACCTTTAGCATCAAATGCGCCAAATTTAGTTTTTAGTTTAATGTACTGAGTTTCATTTTATTAAAACTCAACGAAATAAAGTTTTGTAAAGTAAAAATGCCTAGTATTTTATTCTTTTTTGTAAGGCCTAGGCCAAACGTCGAACTTTTCATGAGACGAAACAAACTTAGTGAATTAAGTTCATGAAAAGTTCGACCTCTGGCTCCGTTAAGTTCGTCTGAATGAATTTGGATTGTCCAGCACGTTGTATCCGTCTGCTTCAGACGGATAGAACGTGTGAAGATCGTCTCCAGGAGATCCGTCGACGTTCACATGCAACGAGCTGAACTAATAAATGAAAGAGTTGTATGATAATGTATATTTAGCCTCGTTTGGAAGAAAAGTTATTATATTGCGTTTTGATCTGTACGACGCGTCCTTAGTTCGACGTTTGGCCCAACAGACGATCTTAACTTATTTTAGCTCGACCCAAATTAGAGTTTGGCTCGTCTCATGAAATTTTAGACGTTTGGACTAGGCCTAATCCAGATTATATTCGTATTCTCAGGAGCGATCAGGAACTAGCTTGTAGTCGAGGAACATGCGTCAGGGGGGATTCTCCTCTTCAACTCCCGTATGAGCCCCGATTTTTTGCTAATTCCAGACCATCAAATAGAATAGGGAAGTGGTGGATTTACGGTGTGAGTTTTATGGTGGCTACATGTACCTTGGTTTTTCCTCAATATGTCTTTTTGGGGTCGTTGTTCGTTTAATATTCGTTAAACACCCTGAAGTGCCTTTAAAGTATTCACGAACAAATCCTCGCGAAAGTCCTGTTAAGAGCACAGTCATTGACCGTTATCACACTATAGACGGATTATAAGTCTGATAGAGATTACTTCATGGTTGGTGAGTGCGTACGATTTTTATTCACGAGTTGTGAAGAATCGAAAACGAACGAGTGAGCGCAGCGAACGAGTGAGTTTGCGATTCTTCACAACGAGTGAATAAAAATCGTACAAGCGAACCAACCATGAGGTAATTTGTTTATTATATATGTACTGAGATTTACTGCAAAATGAATATGTCAAATAAAAATGATGCGTTGCAGAGTACACGCAATCTGATTGGTTGTACGATTTTTCTCACTAGTGAAAAATACCGTATGACCAATCACAACCCGCAGACGAAAGTTTTCACTAGTGACAAAAATCGTATCGATTTTCCCGCCTTTCACTGACGGCGTCACTAGGCAAAAAGAAAACCATGGCGTCTTCTTCGAGCAATTCAAGGTTTGCAGATATAACTTCAGTAGAGGAATTTATTGAAGGACAAGAAAACGAAAACACCAGGAAGAAAACTGAACAGAATGTTGCTTTGCTTAAGGAGTTTTTGAGGCTAAAAGATGAGTCAAGGCCTGTAGAAGAAATTCCCCCACACGAACTGAGTTCATTCATCAGCGAATTTATCATAACAGTAAGAAAGAAAGAAAACAACGAAGATTACGAACCCACTTCCTTGCGTGCTATGATGGCCAGTTTTGAACGGTATTTAAAGAAGAAGAATTACGGCTACAGCATTATGAGAGACGTCGAGTTTGAAAAAGCACGAACGGCATTAAAATCAAAACAAAGAGATCTCAAGAAGAAAGGCAAAGGCGATAAACCAAACGCTTCAGTTCCCCTCACAGAAGACGACATAAAACTGCTGTATGACAAAGGATTGTTAGGAAAGTCAACTCCTGAGGCTCTACTGAATACAGTTTGGTTCAACAACACAGTCTATTTCGGTCTCCGTGGTTGTAAGGAACACAGAGACATGTGTTGGGGCGATGTGCAACTACGCCAAACTACAAATGGCGAGGAATTTTTAGAGTATACTGAGAGACAAACTAAGACTCGAACCGGAGAAAATCCCAGAGATGTCAGGCAAATAAAACCGAAAATGTTTTCGGTTCAGGGAAGTGAAAGAGATCCCGTCACTGTTTACAAATTCTACGCGGAGAAAAGACCGTCGGAAATGAACGACAACAACGCGCCATTTTATCTAGCAGTAAATAACTGTAAAAAACAAGATTCTTCTAAACCATGGTTTAAAAAGTCAGCCGTTGGCGTGAACAAGCTGAATTCGTTAATGAAAAAAATGGCAGAAAAAGCCGGGCTGGGGCCCAATGTAAAGAACCATAGCGGTCGCAAAACAATGATCCAAACTTTAACAAACAACGACATCCCAGCGACAGATATTATTCAACTGTCGGGACATAAAAATCTTCAAAGTGTGACAAATTATTCTGTAGTTTCTGAAAAACAGCAAGTAAAAATGTCTCGTACTTTAAGTGAACTGATGTCCGGGAATGTGCATAGCTTAGAGAAAACTAATTCATCTCAAGTTGGAGAATGCTCCACTGATCCTTCAGCTAGCTCGGCGGGTCGCTCGGCGGCAGATCATCACCAACAAGCGATGTCGCTTTTCACGGGCGCTGTTATTCATGGAGGTCAATTCAGCATTTCTATTAACAGCCTCAATCAATCCCCGAAGTTGGCAATCCAAGAAGTTGAGGTAAAGTCTTCTCCAAAGAGGTACAAAAGGCTAAAAGTACT